TATAATAACAATATAATAATATTGATTTAAAGAATAACATTTCAAATTCGTTTATAACGGCGCCTACATATTATATTATATAATACGAATTAAAAGTTCTACGTTGCTTCCCTCGGAACGACACATCCGTGGTCGGAACTCGCGTTCATCGCGCATGCGCCGTATCCGTCTTGATTGACTCGGCGGTAAAATTGTTTAGCTCATCTGCAGTGGTCGATGCGGCTCCAATGATAACGGCGACAAGTGCGAAGTGATAACAGTGTCTTTATCTCGGAATGAAAACGTATACAGTCGCGTGACGCGTTAGATCTGCAGGTGACCCAGAAAACCAGGTGCCCGGATGATTAATTTCCAATAACCCTGCAGCAGTACCTACCCATATATGATTTACTGATTTTACTCTCCTGAAAAGTGGGCTGATGTCGGCACGGGCGTAATGCAATAGTTTCCTTTGGGTGGTCGCGAAAACGAGTTTTCCGTGTTATACATCCGAACAGTCGTAGGTCGGCACCTACACCGTCGTCACCTACCTTTATTATATATTATGTGCGTTTCGATCGCCCCTGCAAAACGCTCGAGGTTTATATGGGTCAGCCGAGAGTACTTCTAACGTCCCCCCACATCGTCACGCAGACTCGGCATTAGTTTATTTCGGGCGACGAGAGGGAGGACTCGGGCCCCAAACGATCTTTATGGACTCTTGACATGTATATAGGTCAATATTGCACGGGATATAATTTTTTTTTCAACAAATCTAAAAGTATTTCATATTATTAATAGTTTCGTCATTACCAAGTATAGCTCCATATTGTATTATATTCTGATGGTGTACCTTTTCAAACGTCATCGAAAATTCCACAAAGTGCGGGTCGGAAAAGCCAATTATTGTAAATTAGTCGTTTTACTATTTTCTCACCCGACCACCTCTCATCCTATGGATTCTAATCTAGATTTTAGGTTAATGTCGTTTATTTAGTTGTTTATTTTTAATTTTCGTTTATTTTATTCTAATGATTTTTTTCCTATTACTTGTTTGTATTCTATTTCAGTTACTTGTTCATTATTGTTTATCTATCTGTTTATCCCACCTTGCTATGCCATTAATATGTTTGCCAAATCTATGTCATATTATGCAATAATAATAATACGCTATAATTCATAGTATAATGATAATAGGTGTTGTTACAACTCCTCAGTCATTATTTTGTTAACAGTGAATCGACATATCATCGTCGTACAAGCGAACGGGGGAAAAATCATTTGTATCCTTCTTTTGAATCTTATCGTCTAAATTCGTTTGATATGCTGCGATGAGCAAAATATAAGACGATACATTTTTAATAAAATAATAATATATAAGAATTTTATTGCATCGACATGAAAAAAAATGCCAATTTATCTGTATATTGGTAGAAGGGGGCTTTAGCCCCCCGTGGCGAGTGACGACCCTAAGTCCGACGACGACGCGGAATGCGACGAACCCTAAGTCCGACGATGGAGCGTCACTGCTGCTGCTGCTGCACAAGACCATCTGACCGAGATCAATAATAACAATAACATTAAACAATATTATTCAATCACGATCAGTCGATCAATGGAATTACGACGGTCGTGCATTGTTGTTGACTCGCAATAAGTCGTTTACGTCGTCTTGCAATGATTAAATTGATTGTTTTTTTTTTTAGTGTAATATAAACGAATGACACATTATATTGTTGCACTCGCACGTACCGATACCTATACACGATACCTAGGTATACCTAGGTGACTCATCGTGTTTAACCAAATAACCATATTATACTCAAATAGTATCGTTGCAATATATATGTATTATAATAGTAACGATATAATTTTTTTTAAGACCACATAAAGGGAACGAACCATCGATCGATGCGCATTATCATAATATATGTTGTGTAGTATTGTAGGAATGACTGCTGTGATACACACGTTAAACAATAGTATTATAATATAATATACTATTGTAATACAGTGACCCTGTTGTGAGAGCTGCACAACTTTTGATAAAAAATTCTTTTGGTTTTTCTGTTTTCAAATTTTTATTTCAAATCGTTTTTATATCCCATTTTTTTTTTTATACAACACATATAAATTTAATAAATAAAAAAAAAAACATCAACAGTTAATGTTTTTTTGACTTAATTCCACAATTGTTTTTTTTTTTTAAATTTATTTTTTATTAAAAACATAATATTATATATACGAACAAACAAAAATTACACGTTCCAAAAGTGTATTTTATTATTTTCTCTATATATTTCGTGAATGATAATATATTCATCTAACTACACAGTTTTATTTACACATCTATTTTCGTATTTACAAAAAAGATCTTGTACCTTAATTTACTTTTTTTTTGTTATCGGCTAAATGTATACATGTATGCGTATATAATATTTTATATTACGATTATTATTTTCCCGTCTTTTCTTTCCTTTTCTTTTTAAAAATAAACAATATTGATATAATATAATGATATTATAACATTATGTGATAATACATATAGTAATATTATAATATAATATATATTGTAATATCAATCATAATATTATTATTTATGTTCGAGTGTTAATTAACGACTAATTGAGTGTTTTTTGAAAGAAAAAAAGATAAATTTTCGCTAGGATAACAATTTTGAAATTTATCGATTAACACTTGAGGGTGTATTATATAATATATATAAATATATTATATTATATATATTATATTGTAGACATATGCGATTATTAAAACTAAAAATAACAAAAAAAAAAAAAATAATAATAATAATAAATTATAATCAAAAAATGAGATAAACAGCATATTATACACACACCTACGTCACAATAACATTGTACATTATTACATTATATGCGCGTACGTATATATAGGTAAGTATATACACTTATAATAATAGTAATAATAATAATAATAATAATAATATTTTTCGATAAATTCGTTACAAAATACAAAAGCGCTCGGCGGAAACACACATATCCGTAGGTACCTACCTATATGTATATAAGTAGGTAATCAATAATAATATCGTCGTATTGTGTATAATACAATATTTATAACGCATCATAGTTCGTCATAGGTATCATATCATAGATATAGATTATAATATATATATATATCGACCGAAACAAGCCGTACCAAATGTATATGATATACTTCTGATGTATAGATGTAACGATATTTGGACGTTTCGGCAAAATTTTGGTCGGTGTACACACATTATATATAAATATATTATAATTATTATCGCATAAGACTATATTATATCATTATACCTACACATAATAACAATATATTGTTATACACCTCGCCGCACACATAAATACACACACGTTTTTTTTTTTTTAATGTTGTTGTATACGGATACCAGCTACCTATAATATGTGTATTGTAATAACGGAATAGAAATTTATTTTCAGAGTTTAAATTTATTATTATCGTCTATATTATATAAAGGCAGGTGAGGCGGGGGGGGGGGGGGGTTGATTTATTCGGATAACATGCTTTTTTTGTAATATGTTTATACGAGCGGACCGATAATATATTATTATTTAGAGGGTGATCGTAAAAATATGAACAAGCGAATGAGAAGAAAAAGTATATATATTATATTATATAGGAAAAAATAGCGTCTTGTACGCACTTGCACACACAAATACCTAATAATAATAATATTGTATATAATATTATACGCACACGAAATATATGTCGGCGGGTATGATGTACGCGTGTACATATATATATATTATATTATATATTATATTATATACTCTGCTGCCGGCCGGGTTGTATATATATATATATTATATATTATGATTATTATTATATTTTCGGGGTAATTTTATTATTACCTTTTTCGGTTTTTTTTTTTTTTTTTTTCATCCGTCACATAAATCACGAATAAAAAGGAGTGAGCGAGACTGGCGGGAGAAAAATAAAAAATACGGACAAAAATTATGAATCGTTCGAAACGAACCGGTTTTCGTATATTATACTATTACTATAACATCATATACGGGTGTATACACATGCAGCCTATATACATAATAATAATAATAATATGTACGTCGCTTATACAGCTAGGCGAGTATGATATGTACGACGATGACGATAATAATAATAATATAAGTGCAGTATAGGTGTATAATATTTTATTTATAATATTTCGCAGGTCGTATATAATATAATATATTTTTGATGATATTATTATCGTGTGGTGGAGCGGTGCCGGTGCGCAGCAGACGCAGGACCCAAAGGATTTGTGATAATATATTTTTACAAGTGCGCCATGTACCCCCTAAGTATGTATTTATTTTAGGTATATGGTCGCGAGGTATATGCGGAGGTATAAACGCGCGACGACCAAGCGTTTCGGGGGCCGTGATGGAAAATCGAGGAGGTGCACAGCCGGCGAGGTATAATGCAATATTAGTATGCAGAAAAACCGAGGAAAAACCAAAATTTACCGAACGGCACCCAAATTTTATACTACAGGGTAAACGGTTTGAGACCGTCGCCGTTACATAATATTTTCATAGTTTTCGTTTCGCGTTTATCTACGAATAATAAATATATATATAGGCACATCATGCGTTGAGATCGGTTATTTTTCAGTGCGTTTGGGGGGGGGGGACTTCGTGGCTTTAGGCGCATATGTAGAGTGGTCCGGGGAAGGGGGGCTCGGACGTCGCGCGGAAAACTATCAGAAAACCGTGAAGGATTTTAAAGGATTTTATCGGGAGAATTTGAGCTCGCGGTTAATATTACATAATATAAACGAAACAGAAATCAAATATCTATTAATGTATACTATTATATAGGCTAACTAATGTACCTGCAAAGTGGGTGTGTGGGTGGGCGTGTGTGTGTGTACATGGCTGCGAAGTTATATATATATACTCAGGTATATCATTGTTATATACGTCTTGTCAGGGGGGAGATAGACGGAAAGAAAACAAACAAATTTAAAAGAATTAATCGATTTATATCACAGTGCGACAGAAGATGGTGTGTCGATTGATGGCTCGTCCGTCCCTTACTTGCTGACTTCTCCGGCGCGGTGACTCCTCTAGCTCGATGACTTCTCGTGGTCGACGTGACTTCCCTTGCTCGCGATGACTTCTCGTGGTCGACGTGACTTCCCTTGCTGGCGATGACTTCTCGTGGTCGACGTGACTTCCCTTGCTGGCGATGACTTCTCGAGCTGGCGGTGACTTCCCTTGATCGCGGTGACTTCTGGCGAGTATACAGTCCGAAGACGATTTCCTGCTAGCCGGTCGTAAAGCCTTCATCTCGTCGTCGTCTTGCAGTACAACGCGTACTATATAATAATAATATATCGTGCGGGGTATAGGCATGCCGTCTTCGGTATTATATTATTATAATATAATATCATCATCGTTCATTATTCATCATCATCATTATTATCATCGACATCATCTTTTATCATCGTTATACACACATCTCTATATATTTAATAACGATTGGAGAAAAATAATAATAATAATAATGTTTACGGAAAATATTATATATTGTAATGTTTTTTCATGCGCTTCTTCTTCGGCCGTCGTACGCGATTTTTGCAGTGCATTTTACGGCGAGCACTACTCTTATAATATAATTATAATATAATTATTATCATATAATATATAATATTATAATTTTCAATATATCATACGATCCGCGTTTGTAAATTAATATTAATATTTTATATTTATATATATATTTATGTATAGTCGAATTGGTAAAAAATAATAATAATATATAATGCGCCGTCGCGGTGCAGCAGCGGCGATCTCCCAACATATGACATGTCGTGTGACATGACGATATACCGCGAAAACCACGCAAACAAGCACACGTTTGTCGTGCGTGTGCTCCTCCGTTGCCGCGACGTGCACACGTTTATATTGAATTATATTATTTTTTTAAATCGCCCTCAGCGAGACGTTGTTCGAAACAGTAAACAACAGTACTACGTGCATTCCTGGTGTTGCTGCTGATGTTGCTGCATCTTAGCCAGGTGCCGTGAGTACTCAACGTCCCACTGGGCGAAACGTTAATGGGCCGCAAGCGACTGATGGTTGCCGATCGGCGAGAGCATCGGCGGGCTGTGCGAGTGCGAGTGCGGGCCCATCGGCGAGCCGTGCATCACGTGGTCCTGATGGTGGTAGCCCTGGTGCAGGCCGCCGTGGCCCATCGGGCCGCCGCCGCCGCCGCCCAGGCCGCCGTCCATCATGCCGTTACCGTCCTGCGGGCCGCCCATGGTGTTCGGCGGCGTCATGCGCTTCTCCTTCTGCCGCCGGTTGCAGAACCACACGCGCACCACCTCCTTTTCCAGCTGCAGCGAGTCGGCCAGCGACGTGATCTCCTGCGCGGACGGCTTGGGCTGCTTGTGGAAGTGCTGCTCCAGCGCCCCCTTGACGGACACCTCGATGCTAGTGCGTTTCTTGCGCTTGCGGCCCTGCGCCGCGATCTTGTCGATGCTGGTCGGCGAGCCCGTCGTCGAGTCCGCCTCCTCCAGCCACTTTTGCAGCAGCGGCTTGAGCTTGCACATGTTCTTGAACGACAGCTGTAGCGCCTCGAACCGGCATATAGTGGTCTGCGAGAACACGTTCCCGTAGAGCGTGCCCAGCGCCAGGCCCACGTCGGCCTGCGTGAAGCCCAGCTTGATCCGGCGCTGTTTGAACTGCTTGGCGAACGCCTCGAGGTCGTCGGACGTGGGTGCGTCCTCCTCGCCGCCGGGCGACTGCGGGTCGTGTTGCTGCGGGTACGACGGGCTGTGGCCGTGCATCTGGACGGCCGGGTGCGTGTGGCCCAGCATGCCGTTCATCACGTGGTACGCGCCGTGGTGGCCGAGTTGCGGCGACCCGGACCCGCTGCCGTTGTAGTGTCCGGCTGAGACGACAGGCGGCGGCGGCCCCGAGTGCCAGGTCTGCGCGCCTCCTCCTCCGCTGCCACCGCCTCCGCCACCGCCGCCGGTCACGGCTCGCATGTCTGGCGGCGGTTTGATGTCCAGTCCCTGGTGCGGGTGGTGCGGATGGTGTGGATGGTGCTGGTGCATGCTCATGGACGCGGCCCACGGGTCCACCCAACTGGCCGCGGCCGACAGTGACACCGGCGACGGGGACGTAGGAACTTGATGGTGATGGTGGTGGTGATGGTGGTGCTGCCCGGGTGGCATGTACTTCAGCTCACCGGCTGGGTGGTCTTGGCCGTTGCCGCCGCGTGGTGACGGTGACGGCTGCTGGTACGGGCCGCCCGGCTGGTTGACCACCGACATGCCGCCCATGCCGTCCAGGTCACCGGAGCCGGGGCCGCCGCCACCGCCACCGCCGCCGCCACTGCCAACCGGCAGGTACGTGGTGGCCATCACCCGCGCTTTCCAATCACATTCAACCGACGCGCCCCGAACACTGCGCGGGTAAATCGTTAGGTCCGTAATTGCGAACGTTTTTCTTGCACCGGTCTATGAAAAAAAAAAATTGTCACTGTGCACCGCACGCGTGTGCGGTGGGTACGCGCTGCGCGCGCGCACTTTGTCCGCGCGACAACGACGTCCTCGGCGACGTGCGATTTTTTTTCACCACCACTACGACAACGATATTATGAATAACAATATAATAATTATTATATTGTTATTGTCAGGTTTATTTTTTTTATCGTTCGGTTTTCACCGCGAAACCGGGTCGAGAAAAATCCTTATCGCGACGCGTGGCGCCGTCTCTCGCGGTATGACGGGCGCGTGAGGCGAAAAACGCGAAAAAACGGAATAAACAAAAAAAATTTAAAAAAACGTAAAAACTAAAAAAAAAAAAATAAAACGACGAACGGACGATCGAATTATAATTATTTGTTTGTTATCGTATCGCGTGGTGCATGCTTTGCGAACGGATAAAATATATTATTATCGTACCGACGACGCGTAGTGTCATAGGTGTGCGGCGGTCGCCTTCGTTCTGGGAGAAAAAAAAATATCACACAAGTCACACACACGCGCGTGAACCGTTCACATAGCGGCCGGCGCGCAGTACGTATACGGACTGATCGGCGGCGGAGGTCCGCAGAGAGCGGCTGCCGGCGCGCGCGAGGTGGCGTTCCGGCCGCGCGGCCGCGCTCCGGTGGTGGGGACGCGGGGCGCGAGCGAGAGACCGCGGCCGGCGGGAGCGAGACCCATGGCACGGCGGGGACCGCGGGACGCGCGCCGTGGAGTTTCCCCCGCCGCCGGTCGCGCGTGCACGCCCAGGCCGCGCCGGTTGGGCCCGAGCGCGCGTCCGCGCTCCGCCCACCCGGGGACGGGCCCGGGTCAGCTGACGGCGGGGCGCCCCGGCGGCAAGCGCAGTAGCCACGGCAACGGCATGTACAACGGCCGCTCTCTCTCGCACCGACCGCCGTTCGTGTGCGTTCGTGCGCGCGCGTCACCGATTGTCGTGCCGCGTCGGAGGGGCCGTCGTGCCGCCGTCGCGAGACCGCGCCACCGTCGGCCGTCCACCGTCATCGCTGTCGTCGTCTCGCCGCGCGCGCGCGCGCCGACGTAAATGGATACATTATCGCGACATTATCGCCGTGCCGAACACCTACGGCCACCCCCGCCCGCCCGCCATTCCGTCAGACCGTCAGTCCGACCGACGACGCGTCTTCGCCCGAAAACAATCCACTCGCCAAATTGATTTCCAAAGGCCCTTTGCCCCGCGATTCATACTCACGAGCGACGCAATCCATCGCCGTGATGATGGCGCCCACATACGACTCGATATAGTTTCGTAATCTGTATAATACCATAAATAAATCTGTGTATCGGTATTATTACGGTATACCGCCACTGCAGTATTGGTATATACCGCACCACCTACCTGCCGATACTATAATATTCCATAATAATAATATGCACTTTATCAATTATTGTCACATAATATAATATAGTATACACCTTTACCACGATTGTTGCAGCGCGATGCATTCCTACCTGCTGCAGTGCAATTGCACATATTTTAATATTATATTATATATTATATTGTACTAATTTGTGTATGGTACACTATTATAATGTACACATATTAATATCATTATACATATTTTGCAAGTCCGCTGCGTTTTAGCTGCTGCAGGTTGTACCCATATAAATAAATATTTTTTAGTGTATATATCTATGTGGGTTCAGCATGATGCTGCACCGTTCCAACACCCCTCGACATGCAATAATTTTTGTTTATTCCACTTGAACCAACGATATTTTTTTCACACCCCGGACCTTTAGGTGATTACGAGGGTGCAGACGGATATAGCTACGATTGATTTCTGCAGTTATCAATAGCAGCGGTATACGTTTTGTTTAATCTACCTATAAATAGGTATAGTTACAGCCTGGCGCCTATATACTCCAGCAATAATTAGGGACTATTATTATATTCTTTTTTCTTTTTTTTTTCAGATGTACGTATAGGTGCTCATATTAAAACATGTACCTATCAGTTATTGGCGTATTATTATATACCTATATATGTATTTGTATTCTAATATTGCTGCTACAGCTTTGGACAATGACCCTATTATATTCGATTAACCTTCTCCAAAAAGGATAACCTACTATAAATAATATATATATTATAATATTTTTGCTGCTATACATTATAATATGTACCTAATTATATACGTATACATATAACATATTATATTATATTATATATGCGTGCTAACAGTGCAGGAATTCGAGCAATAAGTATACCTGTAGGTACCTACTGCAAATTAAAACGGAATTCGCACTTTTATTGACACATATATATATTATACTCATATTGTGTATATCGGACAATAATGAATTGTTGTGCCGACAGAATTTATTTACATGTATCTATATATTGTATAATACCTATAACATCCGGTACCTTATGCGTGTGTACACTGTAGGTATATACGTATATTTAGATATGGTGCACTTGCATGGCGCTATTATGTTTGTGTACCTATATATAGGCAGCTGGTATTATAAAGGTAGGTTATATACCTACATACTTATGTACGAAAAATCAAGGCTGCAGGACATCAACGAGTTGATATAATATATGACATTAAAATTAAGTTAATATTAAAATATAACTAAACCTTAATAGTACCCATCATAGATATACCTAACCATATATATATAGGTAATATATCATCGCTATAGGTACTATTTTTTGGTAATAACTTTTAATATTGTATATAAGTTACTTTATTAACGGTATATTATATAGCAATGCATATAAGCCTATATAATACCTATATACCTACGTGACGTGTTAACTATATATTCAAGTTAATTTTACATAGAATTAAGTATTAAAATTAAGTCTTATTTCAATATTAACCTGCAGGGGTTTGCACCCGAATTAATAATAATGACTTCATACATATATTATGATATAATATCTTCTCTTCATCGTGATTGGCGGTATATCGGGTTTTCAAAATTTAATCGGGTAGGTATATTTAAAACCGGTATTGAATATTGTTTAGGTATTATCTTTTTTGATATTTTAGGTACAGACTACCTATACCTAAATTTTAACTCTGGTATTGGGTGTTTTAAAGTCATATCATAAATAGGTAGGTATATGCGTGATGGGTTATTATATTATATATATTTTATATTAAAGCCGTTGTAAAAGTTTGACAGTTTTATTGATAATAATTTTCTTACCGATACTTAAAAAGTTAAATTGTATCTCTTAATGAAGTCAATTGTAATTTTTAACTCAATGAAGATGCTATGACAAAATATATATTTTAATAGCTATACACCTATTATACCTAACTATAGTTGACTTTTTACTTTGAATAATATAATATCGAAGTGGTTTTAAGCTACCTATTATGTAGGTATGTGTATAAAAACCCATTTTCAAAAAATCACGTTTACGAAACATGTCGATATGTATATGGCTGTACCTAATATATATATAATACTATTGATGTGATGAAAGAAACACCCTGCAGTATTATATGCGTCATAGAAGGATTTCCAAGGTGTGTACCTACCTATAATACTATATACACAATGTTATGGGAAAATATAGAAAAATCGAAACCGGCATGTATATATATAGAATTTAATACGTATTATGTTATAGATATACCTAGTGGAGAATTCGAAAATCAATATATTTACCGAGGATATATCTATATAGATATTATTATATAGGTATGTATATTCCAAGAAAAGAGGTATAATATATCGCTCCACATATACTTTGTTACCTATACGATATGCATATACACTATATAGGCAATAATGGACTCAGATGCTGCATAAAATGGCCGCGACGGCGTGAATAATATTTTATATACCTATAATACGATATATTTTTATCACTGAATTCTGAAATCGTATATTTATTTCACACACAATATAATGTATACTTGGGTAATGTGATATAGTTTTTGGTTTCTAAACGTAAGTTTAGAACACTTCATATTCCCGTCCGTTAGTTACAAGTATAGACGCCTACAATATTATAGCTAGGTATAATAATACGATTGTTGATTTTAAGGTATTATTTATTAACAATCCATATTATAGTCTTTATGTAAATAGTTACTGTACATAACAACTTACGATTGTTATTCGCTTGTATTCAAATTTCATGTTCAAAGTAAGTGCCTACATTTATTCTAGTCAGTATTGAAAAATATCAATATTTGAGTACCTATTCAAACTGGCCAATATTATAAAAACATTGGTATAGGTATACCAAATAATTATATCTAATTTGTAGGTGGTCTATTATTGTATATGATATATTAAAATACTTTTAGAAACCAGGAATTACGCTCGCAGATAGTGTTTTACTGTTTATCCATTTATATATTAAACCGTGTTTTTTGATCCTCTCACAGAGAAAAAAGCTATCCATATAACAGCAGTATTAATGTTGTTCGTCTATAATAGCAGTCCTCGCGATATTCCTCGTCGCGTATTCTTCGTCAATAGGCTATAGCAAATATAATATAATATTACGTTGCCTCAATGATTGTTAATAATTATTGATATTATATTTACAATCGTAGGTCGACATGTTATTATGCTGTCGAGTTGCAGTTCGGTTGGTCCGGAAACACATATTATGGAAATCGAACAGACATCGTGATAATACGGCCGACAGAAGTCGACTGCACCGGACGATGGTGATAAATCGAGCCTGGTCGAGGAATAATTCTCGCCGAGAGTCTCGCGCCGCATACGTGCAACGCTATCTGTGAGCGAACGCCGCGTAACTCGGACGGGATCGACGTGTGCGATCCGAGTGCGCCACTTTCAGCGACCGAATGTATTATTGATATTAATGCGTAGAACTTTAATATTATTATATTTTCCACGAAGACTTACGCATAGAT